GCAGACGACTTGTTTGAAACTCTTCCGGGAGGACAGTTAGTAGTTCCAGTAAAGCCATACATCTAGCTTTGCCATCCACATCTGAACTTTCAGTCTGAAACATCTTCACCATGTCACCTACTGCATTTGGCCATCTCTCTGGCATCATATTGAGAGCCAGTGATGCTAACGCCACACAAAGTCTGGTGAGCACTATCTTGGAACCAGAGGAAAAACATGCAATCTGATTGAAAAGCTGGGATTTCAAAGTCTCATACTGATCTGACGGGATATCGTTCCAGTAGCGGGAGATTTTGATGTGAAGGGCACTGGCTCCAAAATACTGGATCTCAGGCACTTTATTAGGGCTGAGCAATGCCCAACTAAATTGCCAAGCCTGGGGAGAGACTTGCGCCTGCATCAGCCATTTCTGTGCTAGGTTCTTGTTGTCAATATTTGGATCATAGTACAACTGATGTAATGCCTGCAAAGATACAAAAAGAAGAAAATATGAAAAATAACATTTTACCTATTAGGCAGGGCACAAAGAGAAAGAAGCAAGGAATGGAAATGAAAACATTCTGTGCTTAATGCATCTACAATTCACTAGAAAACTTAGGCTACAGCACAGAAGGAGGCATTCAGACCATCATATCAACACCAAAGATATGACTGAACTAATTTCATTTTCCAACTCTTGACACAGCCCTGGGAGAAGCTACAGTACTGAATAGATTCCCAAATAAAATCAACTTGGATTATATATCATTGCAAATCTAAGTAAAATCAAATACTATACTAAATTCACATCTGTTTCTTTCAGGGGTTTTTTAAAATCTACTCATTAAACTCAATGACAAAGGAACAGGATTCCAGGTGTCCACAAACTTTACTTTATGGTAATATTGGTCCATGTTTCAAAAGAAACATTTAGGAAATGATGTAAAATTTTCAATTCTGAACTTCAAGATTTTTTTGTTACATTGACTAGATATCTCAATTTTTTCACTTTGCAAGATACAATAGTAATTCAGTAAATATGTAAAATTCAAACCTTCCCAAAAATAAAAATCGTACACGCATCTGAAACCATCTTCAAAAAGGTGTAACAGTCTCTACAAAAAAATTGTAGAGGCATTCTAATTTTCATCCTAAAAACAAAGTGAACAATTACATATGGTTTTAGACTCACCACAAAAAGGAGGAAAATGCAAAGATTCCATTTTAACAGGACTGACTTTCGGAATAAACAATAAGGTAGTTAAAGTAGAATAGGTTGTCAGGTGAATAAAGTTTGGACGAGAATTGGTGTGTTTAAATACATAACTAAAAATATACTACTATACACAAATATAAATAAACGACATGGGGAACAAAAGGACTAATACAACAAATAAGGACAAAAAGTAATCCTCAATTTATAGATCTTTGGGTCCAGTGGAGGACAAACATGAATAATAGACAATACTGAATTAAAGGGTTAATTTTTTAAACTTGTCTGAGCAATAAGATTAGGGTTGAAGTGAATACCAAAAAGATGCTATCTAGAATATCAAGATAGTAACAGGGCCTCAGAGATAGAAAAAGAGAAATTAAAAAAAAACAGAAAAGCAGCTGCAGGCAACCAGAAAATTAGAGGTATTAAACAATTTCTTTGCAACAGTATTCATGGAAGCCCTTAATTTGTTGCCAGAAATTAGGGTTTATTGTGTAGGATTTGAGCAATTAAGGACAAGCAGTAATTATTGGTATGGTAGCAACTGGGACATCAAATGTACCGAAAGAGAGAAGACCCCAAACCACTTACAGATAAAGTTACAAAAATTTGCATTAAAATGTGTCATATTCTGATGAAGAACTTCAACAAATTATTGGAATCAGGGCTTCTATCAGGGGGTAAGACAGAAAGTAACATTACCACCTAAAGAAAACAGCAAGAGTCCTTGAAATTACATGCCATTGAACGGTACCATCTGTCACGGACAAAGTTATTCATGATACCATTAAACACCTGTAGTAGTATGTGGTTATCAGGCAAATCAGAATAGTCTTTAGAACTGAAGCAGGAAGGGATTAGGAAATTTATGTTGAATATTTCAGTTAGAATTGTTTGAAGACATAGTTGGTGTTTGAGGTACGAGAGAACCCTGTGAATATTGCTGGAAAACTTCTTGAGCTAGATAACACAGGAAGATATAGTAGGTTGATTCTTACAACAACAGGAAAACGTGACCTATGGTTCTAGCTGCCAATCTAACTGAATATCAAAAATGATAGTGCATGATTGATCTTCTGGATTATGTCAATACATAGCAAGAAGTGAATCAGTCATATGTTCCAATCATATACCAGCTCCTTGTACATTTGTTTTTTTGTACACCAATGATTTCAAAATTCCAAGTTACACTAAAGATGGACACACACACACACACACACAGACAGAAAAAGAAAGAGAGAGAGCAAGAGAGCGCGCGCGAGAAAGAAAAGAGAGAAACGAGAGAAGGAGAAAAAAAAAGAGCCAGAGAAAAAAAAAAGAGAGACAGAAAGAGAGACGGAGGGAAGGTGAGTGAGCAAGCATTTGTGCGCGCACATGTGAGAGTGTACGTAGTGTGGTGGGATCCCCTTTAGCATAACATAAATCCAAGACCATGGTTGAAGTCGGCCTCATGGGTATGGAAGTAGGTTATCAGCCTTTGCTCAGTCATTTTGTGTTGTCTCGTATCTCAAAGGCCACCTTGGAGGCGGCTTATTCAAAAGATCAGAGGCCGAATGCCCTTGATTACTCAAGCATTCCCCCAGGGAGAGAACACCCCGTCTGGCGATTGTTGCGCAGTGTCTATTCATCCGTTGTCGTAGCGTCAGCATGGTCTCGCCAATATACCATGCCTCGGAGAATCCCTGACTGCAGCGTATGAGTTGGCCAAAGTTGGCCAAGTCACATGAGTACCTGCCGTGCACGTGGCAGGTGATGTTCCCACGTGATGGTAAGATCTGGCATGTCTTGCAGAGGTTGCCATTGCAGGGTTGTATAGTGTTGTGTTCAATGTTGTCCTGAAAGCTGGGTAGTTTGCTGCAAAACAGGTTCAGAGGGATTTTGGGTGATTGAAAATGAAGTTTAGTGGGAAAAGAGTGATGAAAACAATAACTAAATTATTTGTCTACAAAATAAATTACAGGTGGTTATTTAGGGGATACTGGTGGACAAGCTATTAAACTATTTGCAATGCAGCGTAGCAACAATTAAAAATAAGATTGGACTTTGGTGTACAGAGAGTTGAATGAAATAAAGAAATGTCGTATGGAACAAACACAGGGTGTTGACTCACCCTCAACTGGAATAATGTGTGGAGTTTCCGTTTCTTTGGTACAGGGATATCATGCTGCTGAAAAATGCAACTTGGATCATTATAGGAATACTTAAGTCTATTGTAGATTTAGTAACTCCACTTATTAAAATTGAAGGTTGAGGTTTATCGTAACAAAGCAAGCTAGGGAGATCAAAACGTTGGACCGAGAAATAACATCAAGAATTTGCAATGAAATGCAGATAGAAAGTAAATGAATAGATAAAATCTAACTTTCTATATAGAGGCGGCACGCAAGAGTATTGCTGCCAGAACTGCAGAGATCTCCAGCACTTGTTAGATTTATTATTTCAGATAGTCGCCATCCACAGTACTTTGCTTTTATACCTATGAAATTGGTTGATGCAAATTTTTTTTTAAAATCCTGCTTTTAATCTCTGGAACCAGCCAAAATGGATTTTTTTATTAAAAAAAAAAAAGAGCAAGATCACGATAATTCTGATTTTACTTAATTTGTTCTTGCTATTCCTATCAAGAGATCTTTTATGGTACACCATGCTCATTTATCTTGTGCTATCCTTACACATCCACAGTAACGCATCAATAACAAACCAGTCTGATGTCAGCAAACGCATAGGGGTTGATATCTATTTCTGACGTCCTCTACAAGAGATCTCATTTTTCACTTCTGATCAAATGACTGAAATACTTGCATATTATTTTCTACTATCACTTGTTATTTTTGCTCTTGCATTTGCCAGACCTCTCCATTTGTCATATGGTCTGTTCACTGAAATATTAGCAAACATAGCATCTACAAATCTTTATTTATAATCCAAGTTTCTGACACACATAGAAAGTGGAGAGAAAATAGTGCAAGTTCTATTTTTCGTTGCATGCTTGTGTTTTGTTTTTTGTCATCTTCACACAATTACGCTCAATCCTTCTTCTAAGAGAATCTGGAAGATGTGATATTGAAGTTAACATTAATCCTAAATAAACAAACTTATTCCTGTTCCAGTGTGACATTGTATACTTCAAAAAAAAAGAAGGAATCGATATTATTGTTTCCTCTAATGTATTCCTTCTAAATACTAGTCATCATCTTTTTAGTATTCACAATTAAACAATATTCTAAACATCTAGATTTTACTTTAGGGACAATATTTTGTCATTCTATAGATTCTGCAAACAGCAGTGTCATCAGTATATTTTTTTTCTATTCATTTGTGGAATGTGGGTGTTGCTGGCTGGCCAGCATTTCTTGCACATCCCTAGCTGCCCTTGAGAAGGTGGCAGTGAACTGCCTTCTTAACCACTGCAGTCCACCTACTGTAGGTTGACCCACTATGCCATTAGGGAGGGAATTCCAGGATTTTGACCGAGCAACAGTGAAGGAACGGCAATATATTTCCAAGTCAGAACGGTGAGTGGCTTGGAGGGGAACTTGAAGGTGGTGGTGTTCCCATATATCTGCTGCCCCTGTCCTTCGAGATGGAAGTGGTCGTAGGTTTGGAAGGTGCTATCTGGAGGATCTTTGGTGAATTTCTGCAGTGCATCTTGTAGACAGTACACACTGCTGCTACTGAACATCACTGGAGGAGGGAGTGGATGCTTGTGGATGTACTGCTAATCAAGCAGGCTGCTTTGTCTGGATGGTGTCAAGCTTCTTGAAAGTTGTTGGGGCCACACTCATCCAGGCAAGTGGGGAGTATTCCTTTGTACTCCCGACTTGTACCTTGTAGATGGTGGACAGGCTTTGAGGAGTCAGGAGGTGAGTTACTTGCCACAGTACTCCAGCTTCTGGCCTGCTCTTGTGGCCACTGTTAAAATGGTGAGTCCAGTTGAGTTTATGGTCAATGATAACACACAGGATGTTGATAGTGGGGGACTCAGTGATGGTAACACCACTGAGTGTCAAAGGGTGGTTGTTAGACTGTCTCTTATTGGTGATGGTCATAGCTTGGCATTTGCGGGGCACGAATGTCACTTGCTACTTGTCAGCCCAAACCGGGATATTGTCCAGATCTTCATGTATTTGAACATGGACTGCTTCAATATCTCAGGAGACACAAATGGTGCTGAACATTGTGCAATCATCGGCGAACACCCCCACTTCTAACCTTATGATGGAGGGAAGGTCACTGATGAAGCAGCTAAAGATGGTTGGACCAAGGAC